ATAAATACATAACACGTCACACAACGTTACCACTAATCCATAGTTGATCAACACATCCTCATCTCAACTTATCATTTAGCTATGGTAAAATTAACGTAGTTTGGTGTAAACATCAAGTGTGTGTAAACATTTACCATCTCGACCACCATAGCTTCTATATGGAGGAACTCCTAACGGTGAAGTCGAAAATGATCTTCATAGTAGTAGAAGATACTCTCCCAGAAGCTTTAGTTAACTTGGTACAATAACAAAAGCAACATAGCCACTAAAGTTTTTATTTATATCGCGTGGAATATCAAGATTAAAGCGGAAACTTTAAAGTATTGATCTGCAAAAGGATATCTAACGAGGTAGTGGCGAGACACTGGGCTTTAAGCTGAATATGGTATGCGCAGCGCCATCCTCTGACACAGCCAAGGGCTTTGTTGATCAGGATCAATGAAGCCATGCATGACAAATTGTTCTGCTTCTTCATCCATCAATTCTCTGGCCCAGGTGACACGTTTTGACGGGCAACTACCCGGTCCATAACACCTGCAATAGTTTCAACAATAAGATAACTGCCTCAGAGATGGTATCTTAATGTTGGCTTCTTTCATAAATCAACTCACACACTTCTTATCGAGATTTGTCCCTAGAGAGGATTTAAGACGGATCAGAATTCCTACCTTAGTCTAAAGTATGCAGTATATGAGTAAAATGTTCTACGAAATAGAAGTTAGTATGATCATTAGAATCTTGTTGTAAATTAACGATTTCAGATGACTAACCGGTACTCATAGAAGCAAGCAGTTCTCTCATTTTCTGTTTTACCCCAGTTGTTCCAACCGACATGCTTAATACAGTGATCCATATAACAATAGGCAAAAACCACCCTCCCAAAAGGCCCCCATGGGCGTCCAAGATGTGTATATGAGGTCGCTCCGCTACCAGTGATCACACATCTGCATAGGAAAAAATGTTTCAAAAGAATGACAAAATTCAACATGAAAAATGGAAATTGAAGAGAAAAAGTCTCTAAATATTAATCTAGACATTGAATTCTTTAGTGAACCAGACACCAGTGTGAGGTACAAGTACAACCTCAATATTCTGCAGCTGAGGTAAGCTCAATATTAGGCTTATCAACCAAGATGACGCTCTATATTAAAAGTTTCTATTTATCTTTCACAATAAAGCTGATTGAAAGATGAGTTTAATTTAAACTGATCACTCACTAAGTGAAACTTCAACAAGATTGAGGATGTGGCGTCATCATAACCTAAAAAGAGCTTTTTAATGGGAGAATTTCAAGAATAATTTACATTGAATGAACAATGGACAGAGATCGTAATGATGCCTTGACACAAGCAAGAGTAATAAAATCAAATTATATTTTCTATAACACCCCATACGGCCATACCTAAAGCTACAATTTATCTAATTGAGGCATGGTGGAAAAGGGTAAACCTCTCTTAAGCAGCAAGTTACTACAGTTCTAAGACATATTTTGACTGAGAACACAGAACAGAAGAGCAGTCCAGGTCAAAAATCATCAAGACACAAAGCTCTTTCACCCTACTCAAGAACAGAGTTTTCCTCGACAGATGAGACAGAAAAATGTGTCAACCCTTCAAGTTTCCAGGAAACATCACAGAAAACTCCCATCTATAATATCGAAGTATGATTTTCAGAAGTTATGCTTGCTACATTCTTTATCCAAAAAAAGAAGTTATGTTTGCAACACCTAAACTTTCATTCCACACCTAAAATGTTCTAGCTATAAAAGCTTCGTCCCTGAGGATAAAATGAAAAGTTCACGTTAAATAGTTCTCAAATTTAAAAAGCTGTCATTCTTTCTGGATCAAATTTAAAAAGAAATGCTGCCATATAAACTGGATAGAGGGAGTTGTAGTTATACCTTTTTCTTGGGGAAACGTTGTACCGAGTGACAGTACCTAACTAAGGTTACTAAGTAGTTCTGGACTTGTGTATGAGTAGCTTCTTACTTCAAATCAAAGTTAATTACTCAACTTGTTTTGAAAAGAAAGACAATATACAAAAAAATATATTGTTCTGCACCTGTTATAGATTAGTTAGAGAACCAAGCATAGTTTCTGAAACTAATACTCATCTTGCAAATGCTTATAAGCTAAAACCAATCTACTAGATCAGCTAACTAAAGCACTTCGAGATATATATGAAATAGATTTATCTCCTTCTTAGAGAAGTCAACTCCAGTCCCTTTGTTGAAAAAAAAAAATCAGCCCCTTTACACAGTCAAGGAAATGAAAAGCTGAAGCACCGCATGAGATGCTATACATTATCCTCAGATAGCGGAACTAGGTATTGCATTCCCAAGATTGGGGGTGCAAGAATCATTTCTGAGGTGAAAAGGGAATAAAAGACACTAACAATTTCAATGTTCACCAACATATGATTAAGAGCACTTCTTTAGATTCAATCATAGTGTCAATGTTACAACACACATGTGAGCGCGCGCGCACACACAGACACCTATACATATGCATGTTTATGGTTGCATCGTCCTGTTTGGATATGCAACTTGATTTCGAAAACAGTATTTAATACCTATTTTTAAAAAAAAAGCTATACATCTTAGAAGTATATGTTTCTTATTATTTCAAATGTAAGTTGGTTTCGACTTTCGAGAAGAACTTATTCAACCTTTTAAATAATCTGTTGAGGCTTCCAAATGAGGTATCCCAGGATTTATGCGTTCAACCAGTTACTTTGTGCATCTCTTCCCATTATCAACTAAATTGATGTAACAGGAATGTTCATAGACAAACTAAACTAAGTACCATTACTAGGCAACTAGCATAGAAAAATCTGAAACAAGGTGCGCTTTATACATATGAAATCAAATGGAAGATCAATGTGAAATAATGTAATGAAACCAACAAGAAATCAAACAAGCATATCTTTTACAGAAAGTTCATGCATAACTTTCTTTTTCTCAAGGGTTTAGACAGATACAAACAACAACAACATACCAAGTATAAATTAAAAATTTAGACCATGTTTCGATTTGAGTGTGTCATCTTGCACATGGGAAGTTTAGGCGGAGATAGTACGACCATCAGATCAGAGAAAGGGCAATATAACCATGAAATAGGAATTAAAACCAATATCCCATGAATTAGGTAATTCAATCGGCCAGAACTAGATTAATGTCAAGCAATTAAAGTTTCTTAACAGAGCCGATATTTTTAGATGTCAAAAAATTTATTATAGCCTATCCAATTTAATGAAAGCCTCGGATCTGCACAAATTAGACCAAGACGCCAAGAAATTTCTTATAGCCTATCAGTATAATAGTAACTTCGAATCTGCACAAATTTACCCAAAGGGCAAAGAAAATATTGGGTGACAAACATAAGAACCAGTCTGATCACAAAAATTAAGTGGTTTATTTTCTAAATAATTGGAGCTTTGAATGATAACCAAATTCAACTACTTACAAACCTCAGAAACACATAACCAGTTGTCTCTTGAGAAGATTTCCTGCTTTGTGCAGTAATGAATCCTGCCGATTTGCAGTGTATGTGACAATGCTCTAAGAGAGCAGTACTATTACCAAAAATAAAATCTACACTTCCTTCGATATAGCAATCTTTCAAATATTGCTTCCCGTAGTGCAAATACAACGTATCCTGGAAAATTAAGTTACTTTCTTTAAAAGACCAGTTAAAACCCTCTAGGTAGACAATCATAGACACAACAAAAAGAGAGAGTATGTTAAGCAACAATATTCAAATGTGCTATACACATCTAGAAGGGAGACAAAAATTGGGGAATTAATAAAGGCATTTGTACTTTTTAGAGCATGGAAAGAAAATTGAACGGAATCCAGAAATGATCCAAAAACATATGAAATCACTCTTGGGGGGAAACCAGAGCACATATATAAGCTACAAAGTTTCTTCTTTGACATGGAGTCCTTGCACTTACTGAACTAGGAACCGACTAACAAGTTCGTTTCGCCACAAGGTATATACTGCTTCTACTATAGGCATGAAGTTCGAAAGTTCAGGTAAACTGTAAAATTTGACAGACATAAAATATTTAGTATTGCACCTGCCAACCAAGAAATCTGCAATTATAAAATGCACAACGATCAGCTGTAACTCTGATTGCCACTGCCTGTCCTGATCCCTGTTGCAGAAAACCAAAAAGAAAGGAGCAAGATGAATTTACATGCACCATTTGGAAGGGCAAAGAGGAAAAGAAAATATACAGTACCTCAGGAACAGAGTTTTCAAAGGTGATGTTCTCAGCAATAAAATCCTCTCCTTCCACTATTGTACTCCCACACCCAAATGTACCAGTACCAATTAACCTTGCTGCCTAATTATCAGATAAAATGAACACAAAGAACCTAATTACACAATAATACACATATGGAGGAAAGATGACGTTGAAGAGTGTTTGAATGTTTCATCTAAAATCTTAAACCGTTAAAAATTAAACTTTCTACTTAATTATGTTTTACACCGTCTATCACTATTTAACGGCCAATTCTTCTGTTTCATTTAAAGCTACAACTTTATACATACTTATGTCTTCAACACGTCCATCACGTGTATAACATGCACAGATGGAATAAATCATTTCATCTAAAAGCTCAAATTATAAAGATAGACACTTCTCTTAATTTTTTGACAACTGTGATGTCCGGACCGAGCTATTTTGTCAATTCGAGCCTGAGACATCATGATGTTCAACCCACTTTATTTACCACTAGACCACACCCTTGGGCGTCAGCCGCCAAGATAGACACTTATTTAACCTAGCTATCTCTCTAACATATCCCTGAGTTAAATTGCTCTATTCAACCAAAAGCTAAAACAGTTAAAGATCGACACTTTTATGAATTTCTTTATGCATTTCATCATGACCCTGTATGCTATTAAAAATTGATACCTCTACTACTTTTTTGTTTCCCACTGTCCAGTACGATCAATTGGTGTCTGGATAGATCCGGATTCATGCCATGAAGTTTAGCACTCCCTAACAAAGTGACTCCATAGCCGAGGCTCCAACCACAGATTTCTAGTTATGAATGAAGGAGTACTTACCGCTCCAATACTCCGCTACAACCCCTGCTGGTTTCATTATGTACTCACTAGTCACTACATCTATCACGTATATAATACTCCACCAAAAATGCCATACAAAAAAAAACATTTTTTTATGACGGTGAGAGTTAAACCCAAACAATTAAGCATAAATCTTCGTTCTCTAAAAATTTAAAACATAAAAAGAAGCAAAAAAGCAGAAAAATGTACCTGATGGTGATCAATTTTAGTGGCAGTATTATTCCAGGTGAGAACAGTAGCTTCAGGACTAAGCCCAACAAGTGTAATGTAATTTTTCGTCTTCGGGACATAAATTGGCTGCTTATAAACACCAGGCGCTACACGAATCACAGTGCGACACTTATTTGATAGTGGAACGGCGTCTATGGCTTCTTGCACAGTCCTGTAATCACAAGTTCCGTCTTGTGAAACTGTTACCGACACCCTCGATGACATTTTCGGTAGACTTCCCGGTAAAAATTCGCCCCGCCGGCGAGAATATTACGCTTGCGGCGGTGTAAGGGCTGTGATGGTGGCAATTCCGATCGGGTCACGGCGGAGATGAATAATTTTAAAAAAGGAAACAAGAGAATACTGTATTTATAGTGTCACAATTTTCAAGGTGATTTATCTTTTAGAAAAATGAAATTGTATTAATATATTTGAGGGGAATTTTATCACCATTAATTCTAACCATGTTTGGAGAATTAAATAATATAATTACACTTTTTAAGTTCATACTTAATTAAAAATAATAATGGACAAGACAAAAATGTTATTTGTAATATTGTATAATTACATTCCGTTAAAAATATAATAATATTACTAATCAATTTCTAGATTAATTTCCAAATAGATAGTCAATAAGTTCACTAAATTAATACTCGATAAATTGAAAATTTCTCTAAAATAATATTATTTTTTTTCGATTTTGATTTGGCTCAATGAAAAAGAATCATCAATTTCGATAAGATAATATATTTTGAGAAAAAATTTGCATAAATATATTAGTGAAATATGATTGAATTGTGTTTTATTTTTTCTTAAAATTTAAATACAGTTGAAGTTCATCTCTAACTTTTCTTATTACATTCAAGAGTTATGGTATTGTGTTTTTCGAATTGCACTAGAAAATTATGAAAAGTTATAGATACAATAAGTGTTTCTTATGCATAACTCAGTTTAACCCAGCTCAGTTAGGATCTGTCTGGATTATCTTCAACATCAGGGATCGGAACAGTGTGTGCATGCTACTGTTTCATTGATGGGATCTGAGTTTGTATCAGCTGCGGTTTCAATTATATGTTTAGTTATGAGTTACTGTTTGCAATATGAATTGAAGCATTCTGTTTCTTTCTTTTACCAACATGAACATACTTTTTTAATTTTAGAATGGCCAAAGATTGACTAGTTTGTATCCTTCCATCTTTTTTTTTCCTTTTCTAGATTCTCTATGGACCAATTGAAGTTTCAAATAGATGAAATACTAAATAAACTAAAAGAAAGAAGTACCGGTCAATCTGACCTTTTCGAAATGATCAGTAAATTGGAGCAAGCAAAATCTTGTTTGCTTGTTGAAGGTAAAACATCACTCTTAGTTTAAGTGTTTTTTACTTGTCAATACAGTCTTTATTAATATCTTTGAGTTCAAAAGTGGCGGGGGCGATGGGAAAGAGACACCAAACTTGGTACATAAGGGATAAAAAATTTAAAGAGTCTAGGACGTAACAGAAGGGTTCAAAAGTGGCGGGGGGCGATGGGAAAGAGACACCAAACTTGGTACATAAGGGATAAAACCTACAGAGGTATACAGACAATAGCTACTCAACATCATTCCAGTTGGTACATCAATAAAGATTAGATGATCCACCGTGAACATTCTTCGAATCACCAACATGTCATCAGTAACTATGGAGACGGACCACG